TTCCCGAGTGGCTTGCATCTTCAGATTTTTTCTGATCAGATCGACATGACTGTCCGACTACATAGCAGTTACGCATTGCTTCATTGCCTCATAGCTTTTGGCCGGAAAGAGACTGTGTATTCCATGTGTATTTTGCAATAATTATATCCATGTTTAGCTTCTTTAACCTGTTGTGCCTCTGGCTGATCAAAAGAGAAAGGAACTTATGGGCTTCCCTCAATTTCTGGTTTAGTGAGACTTCAAGTTCTCTGTAATCCTAAGCACTGGAGTTACATATGTTCTTGATCCTAAATCCACAGACAACAAACAACAAATGATTTATTGATCCAGCTATTACCCTTAATTAAGTCATTTTCTCGAAATATCTTCCTGTTGTGAAAAAGTGTAAGTTTGGATCATTAATAGAGACCTGCTGTTAAAGAATTGTAGAAATGGTTCTTCTTAAGATGTCTGGTTTGAAATGGAGGTTCTGCAATTTATGTTAGTGTTTGACCGAACATAATCATAATATGGAATCATCAGATGAAGTTGAAGTTTTGTTTGGACATGCGATATGGAATTTTTGTGTTGTATATTTTCTCATAAACATAAGAATCTCATAAGTTGTAAAAACTATTAAAATAGCCCCAGTTGTTTCAATCTTATTAAATAAACAAAAAATAATAAAATTGCATAATAAAGTATTACAAAGTTATTTGTTCTCCACTTAATTAATTGTTTCATTTAACTTTAATTCAATAAAAAAAATTGAACATAAATTGTAGTGTACTAGTCTTTAATATAATCCTCCCATATAGTACGGACAATCTTCTCACGTTGAACTTGCATTTCTCTATCATATGACTGAGAAGACAAACCAACATTGTTACTTTGAGTCATTTGTTGATCAATATCATTCGCAACTATATTTTCATCCTCATAGACCATAAAAATTTCATTACCTCTTTGGTATTATCGCAAATAATTATATAATACTATACAAATTATGACAATTTTCACTTGTGTGTCAATATCATATGGTTCATGCCTTGTTTTACTTGTGTGCAATTGCACATTTTCAGTGCATTAATTTCGTGACTAAAATTAAACATATTGGAAGTAGTGATTATCAAACATACATCACCAATTTTGTCACTTTTCATATTAAATTGCTTTAAACATTTTCATATGTAGCCGAAAGAGAAGTTTTTTTATTATGAAAAACCAAAAAAGTATTACTTCCTCCGTTTGTATTTATATTCATCAAATGAATTCTTACTTTATCATTTTATATTCACAAAATTGAAAGCAATAATAAATTTTATGTTGGTGAGAATAATAAATTTTAAAAAGTAATGATATGATTATTAATTTTATTTACATATGAAATAAATGTTTAGTAAATATAATATGGGATTGTTTTAACAAAATATAAACTTGTGGATCAACTTTTGTATTTAAAAAATCCCAAATCATGATATGAAATTTCCATATCATGATTTTTAGAGAATGTGATATTCCATCTAATGATATGAAATCAACGTGAAATTGCATGTCTAAACGCTGATTCTATCTCACGATTTCATATTGTGATATGATATCACATGACCAAACGCCTACTTATAGTCTAAAATAAGTAATAGACATTTTGTAGCTATAAACTGATCTTTTTTCAAAAAAATATTAAAGGTAAAATTAGAAGTTTAAAATTAAATTACTTTCAAATAAAAAAAATGATTTAATTTTTCTGAAACCAACTAAAACGAAAAGTATTTTATGTTGACATTATTACAACCCACTCAAAAAATTATTGCTTTCCGGCCAAACTTGTGAAAAAGCAAATGAAGCCCAATGAGCATTTTAAGTGGGCAAATACTAGATCCCATTTACCCAAAAGATTTTCAAAAGAATCTTGAAAACAATGTTTGTTTAAGAAATTTGGTAAGTTAATAAAAATATTTCCCAAGTTAGATCAGACTTGTGGTCTTTGGATGAAATTTTACTTCCACTAGTAAAACTTCAAATATTTTCCAAATAAAACGTATCTCAAATAAACTTAAAAATTTCAATCCAAATTTCTACAGCCAAAAGTACAAATTCTCCCTTAACAGAGAAATGAAGATAGCAGAATCAATAAAATATTAAGGTTCAAGTTGTTTTTGTCTCGAGATCCAGGAAATACATTAAAACTTCACTTCTGTTTTAGCCCCAACTCTACTCCAATGCTTTTTTTCTTCTGATACAACAACTCAGATAGATAGTTTCTGACCACTTACTGCAATCCCCATGGCTCGATTTTCATCAAGAAACAGATGTTCATACCCTTTACTGGTTTGTAGCTTGGTGGGGTTCTTGATTTTGCTTCATTTCTCATCTTTGGGTAGTTATAGAGGTATTCAAAAAGGGCAGATTCAAGAAAGATATGAAGAGTTGGAGGAGATCCAAATTCCTCAACCAAGTGGAAGCCAATCCTCAGAGGCCAACATGCTAATTGATGAATTCCTTGATAAGTCTTCTAAATTCAGACACATTTTCTTTCCTGACATGACAACTAGCATAGACCCTAGAAAGAATACTAAAGATGACACCTTTTACTATTACCCTGGGAGAATTTGGTTAGATACTGATGGACATCCTATTCAAGCTCATGGGGGTGGGATTCTTTATGATGAAAGATCAAGAATGTATTATTGGTATGGAGAGTACAAGAATGGTCCTACTTATCAAGCTCCCGGGAAGAATGTAGCTCGGGTAGACATCATTGGTGTTGGCTGCTACTCTTCTAAGGATTTGTGGACTTGGAAGAATGAGGGTATTGTACTAGCTGCGGATGAACACGATGAGGATCATGACCTTCACAAGACTAAAGTATTGGAGAGGCCTAAAGTGATCTACAATGAGAAGACAGGTAAATATGTAATGTGGATGCACATTGATGATTCAAATTATACCAAAGCCTCTGTTGGAATTGCCATGAGCAATTCCCCTACTGGTCCTTTTCGATATCTATACAGTAAAAGGCCTCATGGTTTTGAAAGTAGGGACATGACTTTGTTCAAAGATGATGATGGTAAGGCATATGTTATTTACTCCTCTGTACACAACAGGGAGCTTCATATTGGTCTTCTTGACCAAGATTATGTAGATGTTACTAATGTTATGTCAAGGGTTCTCGTGGGGCAGTTTAGAGAGGCCCCCGCCTTGTTCAAGTACCAAGGAACTTACTACATGATCACATCAGGATGCAGTGGTTGGGCACCAAATGAGGCACTGGCTCATGTGGCTGAATCAATTATGGGTCCATGGGAGACTATAGGCAACCCATGTATAGGAGCTAACAAAGTTTTTCGAGTCACCACATTCTTTGCTCAGAGCACATATGTGCTCCCCATTGCACCTGGTTCGTTTATTTTCATGGCAGATCGCTGGAATCCAGATGATTTGGGTGATTCTAGATATATATGGCTTCCTTTGAATATGGAAGAAGTAACTGACAGTCAACGACCAAGAGTATCTATCTTTTGGCACAAAAGATGGAAGCTCTTTAAAAGTCCAGTATAGAAGAATGCTTATAGTTTTCTCATCATTGAGCAAGGTACTAATTTTCTGTGGAGTATTAGAACTAATGTGAAGTGATGCAAGGATATCTATTAGAATAATTTGTTACCTTGTTGGAACTTGCATTACACACAATTTTTTGCCATGTATATCAAGATGTATGATTGCAGCTTCTTATTTATGCATTTTCAAGCAACCAAAAACTATCTCCAACTCAAGGAGACAGAAAATACTTAATTTTTTTCATCAGTTTTGCGACACGCAACCAAATTATAACCTCCCGCCAACTTGCAATTTGATGAGCTTTTCAAAGTCATTTTTTCCAATTTTCCTTAATCTTGAAGTAAGACTAGAGTTTCATCACATAACAGGGAATTCAATTACATTCTTATAATGAATGAGTAAGCTAGATAGATGGTATTGCTTATATGGTCCAAAGCCCTACAGGTACAAATCTTGTCAGGCAACACATAACATTTAGAAAGAAGAGTATACAATAAGAGGGTTAAAGTAACTCATAGTTTATAAGTTTAACATATATATCCAAAACAAATCAATTCTGCCTCAGTACAGAGGATTATAGGAATTAGAAAGAGAGTGAATCTTGATGCAGGAAAAAAGAAAATGTTTAACAGACCAAAGTTTCATTCAGATTCCTCTACAGTAGCTTCGATTCGGAGGAGGACGAATCCAACAGCAACTCCAACAAGAACCAAGCCAGGAATAATGGTAGCAATCCTGAAAATCTCAAGAGCAGCATTGCAAGTAGAGGACAAAGCTCCACCATTGGCTTGTGATGATGGGGTTTTCAATGAGCTAACAATCTTTGCAAAAGCTTGTTCAGTGGACATAGGGAGGCCTAACGAGGCAACATGGTTATTTGCCTTAAGCCCTTCAAATGAATTCAATCCACTAATGTACTTCACTTTGGTTCCTTTCTGGGAAGAGTTTCTGCCTGTGCCTATAATGGCTGCTGAACTTACTGTTGCTGCAGAGAATGTTGTCATTGTTGCCATTGTTTTCTGACCACCAACCTATACAAAAAAATTTGAAGTTGTAACAAGTTTATACAAAATCTTGGAAAAGAAAGAACTAAAAAGATTGGGCTTTTACCTGGTTGTGATGGCTTGTGGAGTGCTTTAAGTTTGCCAAAGTAGAGAGATAATAAAAGGGTGAACATGGGATATTATTTTTTGTGAGGTGAATATGAGAGCAATGGATAAGGGGAGTGTTGAGATGGTTGGCTCACAAAGAAAATTGGATGAGGCATCTTATAGCTCATCAACTTGTAAAACTAGCCAGGAAAGTGGGTGGGCCATGGTACCTTTGTCCAAATTTAGCCTAAAGAAGCAGCATAATTGACTTCTTTCTCCTTTATTTTCTCAAAGTTGTTATGGAGATATTTCCAAAATTGCACAAATGATATGTAAGCATTTAAAACAGAAGAAAATCATGGATGAACATTCAAATGTAAATAAACCAGATTTTAGTCTTAACACCAATCAACAGGCATTTAATTGTCAGAGCTATCAATACAAACTAGATAAGTCTTCAATATTTGTCAACAAACAACACTACTTGTTACGAGTTCACTATTCCGAAACTGATCCTTCATGGAGAACATGAACTTGCAAGTAAAGGCCGCGTTTGCCTTTTCCTCTCATAAATTCACAAATGCATCTGTCATCTTTTTCCACAAGGTTCCACCTACATAAACTGCGCCATCCGCCAGCTAGCCATATTCTACCGTCCTTCCAATTCTTGAGTTTCGTTTCAAATTCTCTGCCAGCGGAATCGCGAATGATCATTCTTGAAGGGAGTTCAAGTTTGTAATCTCTCACCACATCAATCGGAATGTACTGGAATTAGGAAAAACGACTTTGTTAAATGAGAATGCTAGAATATTAAACTATAAAATCATTCACTAGAATATATAGTTATAGGTTTTTCGTTACCAGTTGATCTCTCCTTTTTACTCGTATTTTCGCTACAAAGTACAGATTTTTTGGCTGAGTTGCGCGCCCACTTTTGAATATATCTGCACCATATTGGTCAGGGACATCCCTCACCTTGCAAGCAGTGTCTCTTTTGCCTCCAACTGAATCAAGAAAGTTAACTTGTCAAATTCACAAACAGAAATCTCATGGAAACTCAAGGATACACCATCTGTTTCATTTTGCATGGTGGTATTTTATTGAACATGGAGTTTAGAATGAAAGAAGACTTTTGACACAAATGAAAAGTGTTAGAAAATGATATCTAACTTTATTCTTCTTTGCTGTTCCAAAAACTAACAAACAGTGCCCTTAGGCTCGTTTTGTCAACGAACCAAGCAACCAAACCTTTTAAAAACTTTTTAGAACTTGTAATCCTAAACATTTTATGACATTTATATGACTACAAGATCATGTACAAATATACAAAGATGTAGTTTTTGTAGTAACATACTAACAAGAAAAGAATTGAATTGGGTAGAAAATGAAATAGACGAGTAAATATAAAGACCTTTGATTTGTGTCTACCTTTTGAATGTGACACATTTTTCTTAAATGTACCAGTCCTTTCATCCTCCTCTGTTTCTTCGTCCTCTTCAGTTTCTTCCTCCTCTTCATCATCATCATCATCATAATCTTCTTCTTCTTCTTCTTCGTCTTCCTCTTCCATGTGTCTGGCCACATCAACAACGGGTTTAATTAAAATTTCAGAACAAGATTGTTATGGATATATTTCCAAAACTTGAAGAACGATGTGATGACTATAAACAACTCACAAATGATATATAAACATTTAGATCAAACTTTACCCCCCTGAGCATTTAAAACAGAAGAAAACCAAATAATGGTTGAACATTCAAATGTAAATATACCAGACTTTAGTCTTAATAATAGTTAATAGACTTAATTGCCAGAACTATTAATACAAACTAGAACAGTTCCCAATTTTTGTCATCAAACAGCAGTACTTAGTCTTCAAAACTTTCAACTCATAACAGCACTTGAGGCAATAGAAATTTGAAATGCTATGTTAAGTAGCAGTAAACAATTTCTTATACTTTGTGTTGGAGTTGGAAACTGATCCTTCATGAAGAATTTGAACTTGCAAGTAAAGGACTTTATTTCCTTTTCCTTTCACAAATTCGCAAATACACTTGACATCTTTCTCCACAAGGTTCCACCTGCATAAACTATGCCATCCTCCAATTAGCCATATTCTACCATCCTTCCAATTCTTGAGTTTTGTCTCAAATTCTCTGCCAGTAGAGTCGCGAATGGTTATGCTTGAAGGGAGTTCAAAATTGAAGCCTTTAATCACATCAATTGGAACGTACTGCAATTAGAATAAATTTTTTGGTAAGTGAGAATGCTATAAGATTGAACTACAAAATCATTCACTAGAATAGTTATAGGCTTTTAATTACTAGTTGGTCTCTCCTTTTTGCTTGTAATTTCGCTATAAAGTAAGGATTTCTTGGCCGCGTTGCATGTCCACTTTTGAATATATCTGCCCCAAATTGGTCATGGCTGTCCCTCACCTTGCGAGCAGTGGCTCTTTGGTATCCAGCTGAATCAAATAAGTTAACTGGTCAGGTTCACAAACAGAAATCTCATGAAAACTCAGAGATACTCCATCCGTTTTATTTTACGTAGTGGTATTTCATTGAACATGAACTTTAAGAAAGAAAGAAGATTTCTGGAACATATCAAAAGTGTTAGGCTCGTTTTGTTAACGAACCTAACCTTTTAAAACCCTTTAGAACTTGTAGTCTTAAACATTTCATTACATGAATATGACTACAAGATCATGTCCAAATCTACATAAAGATGTCATTTTTACAGTAACATACTAACAAGAAAAGAATTGAATTGCATATAAAATGAAGCAGGGGGTTAAATATAACGATTTTTAATTTGTGTCTACCCTTTGAACATGACGCATTTTTCTCAACTATGCCAGCCCACTCATTCTGTTCTTCCTCCTCCTCCTCGTCTTCATATTCCTCCTCCTCAGTTTCTTCTGCGTGTCTATGTTTTGAACGTGGTGCCTTACCTATCTTCACAAAGTTTTTTCCCATCATCACACTATCAGTTGCACTTGTCTTTAACACAAATCTTTAGAGCTATAGTTGAGCTTTAAGGCATATATGAAAAGGAAAATAAAAGAGTACAATAATGTCCTCATAACGTTCAAGTCTTACCCCTACATTATTATTATTTTTAGAATTCATAGTTTCCTTACTAAGTTATCATATAGCAATGAAGAATGAAGATAAGATGCAAAATTTAATACCAAAAAAAGTATGAAGATGGAGAATTTTCCTAGAAAAGATTAAGGAGAAAAGTAGTACAAGAAGTTGATACTGTTTTCTTTTTACAAAATTTGGAAGGTAGGACAGGACCACCTATAATAATAAAGAAAACAGCTAAAAATAGTGCCTGCAATACATAAAAGGATTGAAAAATTAGCAAACTATACAGGGTAAACTGATGGGGTTTCACGCAAAACACAGATTTTTATGGCGTTCACATGTGATACACTAAAAATGCAAGACATTATGTTTCCTCCTTTTGAATAGTAACTCTATATATAGTTAAATGGTGTGATTTAATATAAAAATATAAATATTGGGTACGAGCAAGTGTTTTCGGTGAACATTTCAATCATATTATACTTTTGGATTTAACTTAGAGAAAATGGTCAAATGTCCCCTTAACCTATACTCGAATTTTCAACTACACACGTGAATTTCACGGGGGTCCTATCACCCCCCTAAACTGTTAAAAATTGAAATAATTACACCCCTAAAAAGTCACAACCACATTCATGTTGATAAGTGAAATGCACGCGTTTGACAGGTATAAATTTTATTAAAAACTTTTTTTTTTTAATTTTTTCCTTATTGATTCATCATTTAAAAACTTTGTTGAAGGTTAAAAAGGTCAAAATTTATAGATCTATGTCTTTTGATCTTCTTATTTGAATTTTGTTGATTATAATGTTGATTATTAGTTGTTTGAAGCTGAAAACACTGTTTAAATGATTTCATAGCTGCAATTTTTAGTTCTAAGAACGCCGGATTTCCATGGAAATGGGTAAGCTTCAATATGATTTTTTTGAATCTATATTCTTGAATTGGAAGCAAGTGATTTCGTTGATGATTTCAAGAATTTTGTGTGACTGAAAATTGAAGTTCAAGGTTGAAACCGTAAAAGCACAAATTAAACCACCATTAAAGTTAGTTCAAAAGCTTGAGTTGTTATTTCGACTTGCCACAAACGATCTCCGTTTTAAGTGGGTAATATACCAAAAGAATCGACACAGTGAGAAAAGTTTATATCTAGAATTTGGAGTGATTTGAAGAAAAGTTGAGGTGATTTGGCATCAATTTTTTTATAGAAATTGTTCTAAAGAAGATGAAGAACTGGTTGCATTTTTAGATTTGCAAGGAAATTATCAATTGTTAAATAAGTTGAAGAATATTATTTGAAGCTAAAATTAGTAATGGCAAGATGATGAGTGACGATGAGATTTGGTGGCTGCCATTGATGATCTACTTCTAGTAGGTATGAAGAAGAAAACAAATTAGAACTAGAAAGAAATACAAGATTAAGGGAGAAAAAAAAATAAAAATACGGAAATTTATGAAAAAATATTAAAAGTAAAGTTTTAATATTTTTTTTTAATTGTTCACTCTCTCAAGGAGAGTGCAATACACTCACTTGTCATGTAGGCATTTAGGGTGACGATAATTTTAGTTTTAAACAGTTTAGGGGGGTGATAGGACTCCCGTAAAGAATAAGTGTGTAGTTGAGAATCCGGTCATAGCTTAAGGGGGCATTTGACCATTTTCTCTTTAACTTATATATAATACCGTTGATGTACATGATTTTATGTTACCAGGACAATTTTGTCATTTGTCAGTCCATAGATAATGACATATAATTAACTTTTAAGTGATATTAGAAAGTAGTTTATACTGTCAAACACATAAAATTTCAACAGAGCTCTCTCCATCCTTGTTATCACCAACAATGTGAGAAAGATCCTGACCAATATCACGTAATTTAGCATTGCCATGACTCGTAAATTGATAATCAAATATGTGTCTGGCATGCGCTGCAATAACAAACATAGATTTTTATACTTAAAATTTGGTATTACGACAAATGGTAGACAATATTAAGTAGAAAGAAAGATACCCTTGTACGTCAGAAGTTTATCAATTTCAAATAAGAGTGCTTATGTACCAGTGAGTAGAAAAGCGAACTTAGCAAATAAGCAGGAGCCAGGAGACTAGAAGACGATGACTGACAATCTCAACAATGCAATGAGTAACAACAGTGTAATGAAGAGCATCTCTAAGATGGGATGCCAACAGAAGTATTGGATTGCAGACATAAATCCCCTACTACTCACTCCCGAAAAGCAAAAGGGAATGACCAAGTTGAAAACTTCAAATTTTTTCATGGTCATTCTTGCACATCTTTATGCAGCAAGTTCAACAGAGATTCCGGATGATCATTGAAAATGAAACCTTCAGTTCATTTGTATTGACAAGCTGAAACACACAGACATGTCCTTTATTAAGCTTGTTATCACTCAAAAACTGTTTCCATCCTCCACATAAAGCGCGATATCCTTTTGGTGATATACAATATACTTTCCACTCTTTTCCTTCTGATTTATGGAGAACAATTGTTATCTTATTTCCTCCTCCTCTCCAGCAAATTTTAACCTCCAACTCGGTTGTCCTCTTTTGCGATGATCATAGCATCCACGCTCTACAGATTTTCCCATTGCTGGACTGTAAATGATTTCCTTGTGTATCTGCAATTTATCAAATTAGCTCTCAATACGATGCAGATAAAATTTCAAACTTGCAATATTTTGTCGCAAAAAAAAACTAGCCAGTCTTGCAATTGGTTTTATTTGAAGATACTAGTCCAAATGCATCTGGAGTCTCTGTATATTTACTTTCATTGAAATGAAGTATATTGTTTTTAATTCCCTCTTGTGTATTATTTGGATAAGTCATACCTCCAGTCTCCGCTGCATAATGTACAGGAGTTTTCATACTTCGCCGAACTAATTTTCCACCGAGTGACTTAATTAAACTGCTATTGCCCGATAGGTTTAAATTCTTCGAATTTAATAGCAGTCTGTCATGTAATTTGTTTGTTCTGCATCTTGTTTCATAGCAACGCCAAAGTTTAATCCTTCCAGATGCAATTTTACGTCTTTTAACTCCATAGGGAAGTTCAGATGACTTAGCTGAACTCTGAGTAGCGGCTTAATCAAATATGTGGACTCTGAAACATGAGTTCTGTCCATATTTGATGAGTAAAAAGTACCAAGATCAATTTTTTTACTTAAAATTTAGTCCTATGGCAATGGTAGTGTAGCTATTGCAATTTTAATTAGAAAGATACAACAGAAACCATGTACATCAGAAGTTTATCTATTTCAAACACTATGCTGTAAGTGGTCACAAACCTAAAATTGATCTGGCTAAAACAATGTTAACAAATAAGGAAAAACAGCACGAAGAAGACGAATGAAAGAACATATCTAAGATGGGACTTCATATATAAATCCCCTACTCGCTCCTCGAACTATTTCTGCAAAAGGGAATGACCAATTGAAATTATCATTAAGTGCAGAACATCAATTCAAGAATTCAAGAACCAGCAATGTCAATTCAAGAACCAGGAAAAAGTAGTAACCAGTAAAAAAATAACCTAAATCCTCTGATTGAGGGCAAAGGGGGTAGGAGTACTACAGTACTATTCAGAAAGAACTTGCAAGTTGACGGAGGGTTCAACAATCACGCCGGATTCTGTCATCACACTGGATTCCGGTTGGGCAATTTTTTTTCCTCTACTCAGAAAAGAGGAATGCTGTTGTCTTTCCATCATTATCAAATATCTCTTTTTCCATATACCACATCAAGTTCAAAATAATATGTAAGAAATACTGTTTTACACAAGTGCAGCAATTGTAGATGGCAGACTTTGAAATCTAACAAGGAACAGAGTTAGGTCGGTCACTCTCAGTAGTTCTTTCGAAAGAATATTAGCTGAAGTGTCATGCTAAATAAATCACATTCTACAATAACATCAAAAAAATTAAGTTTATTACATCAATGATCAAAAATAGAATTGTGAAACATTGATAAATTACCACATGCATTTATTTTATGAAGAACTCTCGAGAAAATCCAGTGTTGTAAAAAAGATTTGAGGCATAACATGTCAAAAGTCCCAAAAAAGGAACATGCACTAAGGTTTGCTAAAAAGGGACTCTGCATTATTGTCATTTTTGTAATCCAAACTATTTCTCTTCACCAATCAACAGTTTTTTTTTCTCCATTTGTCATTTAGTTAATGTAATCTGTAAATAGTGCAACTCCAGAAGCAGAAGCCAAGAAAAAATTGATTTCAAAGGTAAGCAATTAAGATGAAAAAGTTACAATCAGAAAATTAAATGCTTACATCTTGAATCCATTTGATTCCCCGAGCAATAACATCCTCTCTCGTAGCCAATGCATTTGCCTTAACAGCCAATAGCATCCTCCATCATTAACTGCATAATTTCCTATGATATCCAAAATACCTATCTCCTGCGCAAACAAAAATGGCTGTGTTAGATGCTTGTTAATAAAGCCATATCCTGGAAATAATACGCATACAAAAGATACCTTACATGCAGGGTTTTGCTAACCTACTGTATAGGTGTGTTAGGTTACACCCACCCCATTTTCCAATTTCCTTAAATGTCCTTGATATCTCATTAATATTTAGACCCCCCATTCAACTAAATATCCATACTTTTTACTTTCCACGTCTGTAGCTTCATTTCTTTCTCTTCATTCTTGGGTATTTCTCAAACAAACAAAAGAAAGGAGTACGTCAATAATTTGGTATTTCTGAGTTTAGTGTACGTCAATAAAGCGAAGTTAAATGTAGGAAAAAAACTCAGTTTAATAGCAGGAAGGGATGGGATAGGAAGTAGAGAAGTACAAAACATGTTGTCACCTTAGCCAGCCTCTTCTGTTCAGCTGAAAAATCTTGTCCGCCAAATTTAATATAGGTACACTTAAATTGGGCGGCGTCCACTAAAAGAGAAAAAAACCCACATGAGAATGAGTGAGCAAAAACGAATCAAGTGATATAACGGGTAAAAAGGAAGTCCAGCACAAAATCAAGCACCAGTAGCCAACTGGAGGGACAAATAATCAGGGGTGGAAATGGGGCAGGGATGGGAGGGTTTAAGCTGATGCGGGAACCAGTTTTTTAATAAAACTTGGTGGGTGGAGTCGGCCAGGTTGCGGGTGAAATTTCTGCTTCCCAACACCTTCATTTTAGCTTCGTTTATCTAAAAAATATTCCACTTCACTGCTATCTCTAATCTGTAACTGCTTATTTCTTTCTGTAGTTTTCTTATATTTTTTAAGTGAAGCATGTCATACAATAGGTACAAAGAGACATATAGTTAAGACTGGTTAGCAAAACTATATTACTAAATAGTTAATACTAATGATGGAGAACTATTTACTATGTCATTCAGAAATTTTTGGATCTATTACTTTACTTACAGTAGCATTGGACTTTTGATAAAGCAATATAAAGTCTTCATTAGTTAAAATAATCAAATTATAAACATGTCTATTTTAACAAAGTAACAAAAGGAAGAAAAAAATGACAGAAACTAAAATAGGGCAGGGTGGGGCGGGGCGAGTGGGTTGAAGGTAGAAAAAAAAGCTATGTGGGGGGGGGGGGGGGTGGGGGGGGGGGGAGGTTGAAATTTTAGCAGGTTAAGACTCAACCAACCCCCATTGCCATCTTTAATGAAATGTATCAGATGAAATACAGTAGATATCATTTGATCAGAAGGCTGACAAGAACCTCACTTGTAAATATCTCGCATCCAAGCTCTCCAATGAGCTAGACATGCATCAAGCAATTATTACTCCCTACCAAATTGAATGCCCATAATCTTTTCCAGTTGTTTCACAGTGATATCACTTTCCCGATTTTTTTTTGGCTAAATTAAAAAGATTTTATTAATGTTTGGGAAAAAACATGCTAGTAAACGAGCAGTAGACCAACCCTTTCCCGAAGATAAAACTTTAACACCCTTTCATTGCCCCAAACTGAAGGGAAAGTTATCCTCGGGGAAACCCTGGCCCTACTGTATAAGTAATCCAATTGGAAGCATTCCAGACATGAGACTAGACCAGACTGATTTTATCTCACCAAATATGAACCTTAATAAAGCATGTTTAATCGATTCCTCGATACAAATAACACATCCGAATATGCAGAAAAAAAGATGAGGTCATATACATTCACTTGCAGCCCTCTGATATGACATGATTCCTAAGTTCAGATGTCTTGTAGCACGTCTATTGGTCTTCCTTCATGTTTTCAGCAGAATAAATTTCCAATGAAGATCAGAACATCCACATGTTTCTCCCAATGGATATCCCATTCACAAGAAGTAGAAAAAGGAGAAAAAGAAAGAGATACCTCTGGTGGCACTCCAACTGGATCCTCTTCTTGACTGGGAACTACTACCAAATTTGTCTCCGGAAATCCTCCAGAACTGAAAGAATCACATTGTAGCCTAGAACCATTCTTCAAGTCCGCTGCTGAGCTTATCAGCTCTTCGTCATGTTTAACCACCCAAGGGGTAAATCCTTTTGAATTCAACTCATTGTCCAAATACCCCCCATGTCTTCTGAACTAGGTCCTACTTCCTCATGCCCGTGGCAGCTTCCATCTTTATCACCGTCATCATTGTCAGTGAAACTATTAACTGACTCAGAGTTACTTTGTGTTAAAGCCAGTTTATGTATTTCCTCCACGTTCCAAAACAAATTTCTGTCTGAAGTAGAGGTAGTAGGTTTATAAGAAGAAGATGAAGGAGAGTCAACAACTTTACACATCAAGCCATCAGAAACACCTTAAAATGGACGTACAATATCATCCACAGCATCATCCACGTTAACTGTCACAAAGGATGTGTTCAATCAGATTATAACAAATTAACTACCATATACCAGGTAACTCACTCATTATGTTCATTTTTACGCAATCAGAGAAAGACGTAGAAGTATATTAAGGCAAAAATAGTCATCTTTCGTAGTTATTCACTTAGCTGACTGATTGAATGTGACATTAAGGCTTCTTATGCATTGATACACCACAAAGGATTCATTACTGAACAATTTAAAAATTACTCACTTAAATCCCTGCCAAGAACAGGCAATAGTTTTTCCAAGTCAATATCCTTGAACATAATCCATCGTCCACCCTATTTTATTTTTTTGCATGAAAGAAGTGGTGCCAAGAAAGGACAAGAAGATGAAAATTATGAAAAGAAAAGGAACTTAGGCCAAAAACCGGCATAAGGCTGCCCCGTTGAGGTCTATCAAGATCGTAGGAGTTCAGATACCATGTGAAAGTTTGAGCAAACCTTAAGACAAGGATGAAGTTTTCAAAGACCTTATAAACCTAATTGGATACTCGAACTGAGAAACTTTTATATAACTCAACAACCTTCCACATGTGTAACCACCTCAAGGGTTCACTCGTGTATTTGAATGTGGACTTACGAGTGCGAGAAAAACCTACAAAGGTAGGCTCAGATCTCATGTGAGTGAATGAGACAAGAAA